CTGCAGCGTGGCAAAAAAAAGTTGTAGCATGAATGGGTCGCCTCGACCGGGGAAGGACCACGCTCTCACAGAATACAAGCGTTAAATTGCAGCTTAATGCTGCTGTGTTTCGTATGGTGAGTGTAGAGAACCGGATTTACTGGAAAAGAGGTATTACATCTTAGTCCTCAAGGCTGACAACGCATCTGCATGTTGTTTCGAAAACGAAGATAGATGTAGATGTCTATGGGCCACATCTTATCATCAGGTGGACTGTGTGCTCGTTTGTCACCCTATTTCTATTAAAAAAAAAATATTTTCATAACCTAGCTCTAATAGCAATTTATGCTTAATGTCCTTAAGCTGAGTGAGTATCTACCCATTGTTTGTAAACGTCGCTTCTTTAACTAGAATCCTTAGTCAGCGGTAATGCACCATGAGTATATATTATAATAATCTAATAGAACATGCAGTGAATGAACTGTTTTGAAATGGAATACCGTTTAGAATCAGGGTTCTTCACCTTTTATTTCAGCGTAGCTTATTATACATATATATGTTATTCAATTGTATCCATAAGTATATCATCCTCAAGGCACAAAATATATGGCGCTCGAATGAAATTTAATAGAAAAAATATAGGGATTAGTCTCACTGACCGTGCGATCGCTCAATTAAATTTATTAAACAACTGAGTACACTACAGTATATTTTAACACTGTCACTGTCCGGTTTTCAGACAGAATAGTAAGACAATAGCAATGACATATTTAGTGCACGGGACAGCGAAAGGATTGTTATTTGTTAAAACTTCTATTTTATTTAGGTATAGCTGTGCCCGCGGCGTAGCTCGCGAATATAGGTTTTACTTAAAGAATTTGACGTTTAGGGTAAGAGAATATTAAACGATTTATATCATTACTGTATGAATAAGTGGTAACAAAATAAATCGATACGCTCAAAGTTCTAAGTTGTTTATGATAGAGCTTCCGTGTAAACGACGATAGAAGTAGACTTAGCCGGGGCGTACAGAAAAAGGTTGGCATAGAGTTGGCCATGTGCAAAACAATCAGTACTGGGGTCCACTCCTACAACGCGTAAAGTTTGACCTTGCGCTTTATTTACGATCGTCGCATAACACACGCTGAGTGGGAAACACACTTAAAATAGGGATGTTAGATGATCATCGATGTTAAAAATTAAAACTTCGATGTTTTAACATCGATGTTGACACATGTCAAACATCGAAACATCGACGTCAATGAACCCATAATCGATAATTGGGAACTTGCAAACAATGCGAACTCGCGAAATCAATATCAACTAAATCTTGCATCTGCTCTGAAGATTAAAAATTTTGAATAATTCAGAATTCCTGAACGCATCGTTAACCTAAAAAAATGTCAGTATGGTGAGTCAAACTTAATTGTCAAGTGTCATCTGTGATGTCACAATGGTCACTGCTTTCGCTTTATTTTGTAGTGTTGTTGTCGGTTGTCGCATAATAACTATTCTACGTAAATTGATATTCAAGTTAATTGTTACTTTTCCCTTGATGTGTATACCCACATAATTTTAAAACAATGTGTAAGTATCTACACGTATACAAAAACCATCGATAATGGTCATCATCGATGTTTTGAGTAGCCTAAACATCGAACATCGATGTTGAGCTATCGATGCCAACATCGATGTCATCATCGATGTTATAATGTTATTATCCGTATCTTAAAACTGTAAGGAAAGTTATTTGGTATTAGAGGTTTAGAGGGATTCTGGGTATAAAACAATATCACGACATTTATTGCAAATTTACTACTTTTAGTCGAGTTTTCGAGTTTTGTTGAATAATTTCGACGTACGTACGTCTCTTTTTTCTGTTTCTGCCGGTGTTTGTGCTTTGTGTTGTTAGCCTACACGGCTCTAACAGGCTTGCAGCTTCGTCGGACTCATGAACATAAATTTTTTCAGTGAGTGTCAATACGATTCACCTGCGAAAAATCTTAACACCGCAATTCAGAAAAGGTTGTAATTTGTACAACGCCATCTATTACGTTCTTTGTGAGAAAACATCCTTTTTTAATTTAAGGAAAACATATTTTTTTTTACTGTGTTTTAAGTATAAATATATTATAATAGAACATTTTTTTTTACACACGTATCTTTTTATTACTATTTCTGAGATTTTGTGGCGCCATTAAACAGATTCGAACCTACATTTCAAAATAATAATCATAACTTTCGATAGAATTAACCAATTTTAATAAAACAAAGATTAAATGTAACTCGAAGATACGCTTTATGATTTTCTTAACGATTTCTTTGAAAAAAAAAAGATGTTTACTTTAGACGTGATGCTTTCATATAAAAACAGACAGAAAGACAATTCTAAAAATTATAAAAATGTACTTATTTAATTATTTTTAGTTCCCCATAATGATTTTAGTCACCATAATATATATATACAATGTACAGAAAGAGACACAACATGTTATCATCATTTTTATTATATGTATATATTTAAAGAGAGATGGCGCTGCTAACATCAACTTGATGACTCAAACAAAGCCACCGTTGAGCAAATTCCCTACCCATACTTCAGAATATTTATCATAACTTTTGATGGAATGAACCGATTTTAATGAAATAAAGACTAAATGTAACCCGAAGGTTTACTTTATAATTTCCTTAACAATTCTTATGATATAAATTAGTACTTTAAACGTGATACGTTAACAAACAAACAGACAGACAGACAGACAGACAGAAAATTCTTATAATGGTAGAAATGTATTTAATTACTTATTTTTAGTACCCCTCAATCACTTTTATTACAAAAATATAAAATGTACAGACATCTGCTATTTACAGTTTTATTATATGTATAGATGTATTTAATTTTTGAAGGGCTTAATAGTATTTTAATCCTGGCAGTTACAAAAAGAATCGAAATTTAAAATAAACATAACTAGAGAGACAATCTTGTTTCTGTTATTAGGAGCTTGTAGCAATCAAAGTGGCTGTTGTAATCCTAAATCTATTGTGATGTTTAATAAACCAGCGGATAATAGACAAAAGCAACTATTTGAAAGTATGCTAATACCGTTATTGTATGAAATAGTCAGAAGTAATAAATTGTCGTAAAGTATATTTTATTGTTGATTTACTTTTGCCGGAACTGTATCCTTCTTTGTCACTTGGCTCTTTTACATATTTATTTACAAGTCACTGCTTTTGTTAGAATGCCTCAAACCAAATAACAAAGCTCAACAAAAATATATTGTTGTCTTAGTATTTTCCATGAATTTTAGTTATTGATAAAGTACAAATTGAGAATAAAACCACGATTACTTAATATTGTAATAACCTACCTCGAGAACAATGTTCCAGGCTCTATAAGAGCTTATATTGGGCCTCGTCCAGTTCAAATATGAACCCAATGGACTGCAAGTTGAGGTTAGTACGTACTAGAGAATACTGATTTAACATCAATAGCAAGTACACAACTCACCTTCAATTTGTCGAAGTTATAGTCAATTTGGAATTGCTGGAGGAGCTTCGCACTAGGCTCAATGACCTCAATAGTCTCTCCCATCGGATAAGTCGTAATTATAATGATTCATTCTATTGGAATACTTAAAAATGTCTATAAAATATATATTTTTTTGTCTATAAAATTATATTTATTGTCTATTAAATATATAATTTGCACTTAGTGCAATACGAGTACTAGGTAATTTTCTAAGCCGGATAGCTGTTTGTTATCCGGTATCCGGCCGGATAGTAATTTATATTTTATAATGTGTTGCGAATAAGCAATTTCTATTTAATTAATATCTGGCTCTTAAAATTCAATGATGATGATGCGAACGCAATTAGTGTTCTCGTCGCTGTATGCTGGTTGTATTTAAACGGGTCGATCTGCCGGGAAAGCCCATCTATTTATCCCACTCTAAAAAATTACCAAAAAAAAAATGCCAATATATTGTGTGTATAGTATAGTACATTACAAGGTTCGGAGAACCAATTTATGCCATTGAGACATAATTTCACCTTCTTCTCAAGAATTCCAACATCTTGATTTCTGTGAAAAAGAATGACAAATAACACATCCCAGATACTTGATTATTGATGACTTGCAACACTCACGCAAATCGCATATTATACCCTCGATGAAAAATTAAGATTTTAGCATTCTTGTGTACAAGTTGATATGGCTGAATGTCATAAATTGGATCTCGTGATCTCGTTTCACTCCTCACTTAATACAGTTGCATATTTCTATTTGTAAATAGTAAGTATTTTAAGAGCTGGAGAAGTGGACTTATATGAATAAAAACAATGTTGCTAAACGAAACTCATCCGGTTTTTTTTAAAAATCAAGTTTATATACAATTTGTCTTACGATCAAAGATTAATGTGTGTACATTTAAGGTTTTAAGATGTTATTTTATCGTTTTGACGAAGTGTAGTTATTTCGAAATTGTTTATTTTAGCTTTATTGAATAAAAAAATATTGATAGTCATTTTTCATCATGGAATTGGTGAGCGAAAACGCAGAAAAGCTTGTAAAAATATAATCCCGCTATTATTGCTAAGTACTAAACGTCCTTTGTGGTATTCCTTAAGGCAGGTCTAAGTTCAGCAGTGGACTTGTGAAGGGCTGTAATGATGATGATGATGATAACTAAATCCTCAGGTAATTTATGGAATTGCCTAAGTTCCACAATTTGCTAGTACTGCAATTGTCTGAAGAAACAACGGTTAAACTATTAGTAATGACTAGCCTTAATCTTTTGTATGCTATTTGAAATACTTATGAGAAAAATGAGCTTACTACTTTTTAATATATTTCCGTGCACTTTATTTTAGACATCCGAAAATTAGTAAATTTTTTCGTCTTCTTGTGGATATCGTAAGGAGCACTATTTTTCGCGATTATCCAAATTTATCGAATGGTTTATAGAAAACCTAATTTATATTTTTGTCTTTTATTTATCAGGATGCAAGTGTAAACAACAATGTGGCCGCTTCTAACGCTGGCGGTATTGGGCTTCGCATCGCGGACGCTCGCCGCCGGCTACTGTTCCATCAACACTTTTCCCACAAATACAACCTGGATGCAGTTTACTAAGGAGCCAGTCTCTTTCGAGTACGGATTCCAGGACAAGTTCAAGAGCATACATTGCTGTGTCAAAGGATATAGAAGTATAGAATGGTGAGTACATATTTCAATATCTAATCGAAATTTCAATCACGGCCAATGTTAAACATTCTCGTTGAACAATGCGCAGGTGCGGACGATGAGTATAAAAAAAAACGTTGTAAATTTTTGTCCATTGTATTCGCAGATAAAATTATTATAATCGTGTACGGTACGCAAGACTGACCAAGCCATCGCAGTGTTCGCTGTCCACAACTGTGAGAATTAAAAGGCACAACTTTTTATGTACCTAATTTCATTCGAATAGCCTTTGATTCATTGATTGCCTATTATTTGATTGATCATTGGATAACATATTGTACTTCGGCTTCGTTTATTTGCTATTACTATAATATGATACTATATTAATGTTATATGTAAGTTTTGGCTTAGGAGAAACGAACTATCCTATATATTATATCATTCCGTATGTGTCGTAAGCGTAATATAGCCTCCTCAGTCCCGACCTTTAAAAATATGATATATCTTGAAAGTTTTGATTAATTTACGTTCTTATAGATAAAATAAAGACAATAAATAAAAATAAAAAAATCTAAGTGTAAGTTTAGGAATTAAGGTAGGTATCACTATTGATACCTTGGGACTCAAGCATGTCAAACCAATTAAAATTCTTAAGCTTTTATTTCAGACTGTCATTACAATAAAATCGAATGAAATCTCTTGAAACAATTTCTCTCCCTGATGAAATACAAAAACACCTTACAGGTGTCACAACGAACAAATGTTAGGCTTTTGCATCCTTCAGCACGACATTTAGACCTACTTGCCTGTTCATCATGACACATTTCGGGCAAATGTTTGGTCTTCCTTGCAACCTTGGGTGGTAGAGGGACCGTTCTACGCTGTTTAGCTTGCGGGTCATCACCAGAATCTGATTCAGTCTGGTCATCATCAGTATTGCTGTAAATCAGGTGCTCTTCTATATCTAATCTAAAGAAATAATATAATAAAATTTGCTTTTTAGGCTACTGGTTCAGTTGAGCTTGTTGCCTGTATTGAATCCAACAAGAAGCTGCAACAAAATCAAAGAAATGGTGAAGGACCCTAATTGTTCATTTCTTTGTTCTTCCCCTCATGGCATACTTGGAAATAACTCGATCCAGTAGGTCTACCCCACCCATACATTGATTGTATTGTTTTATGGCGTGAGGTCTAGGTATTTCAATATATCTCTTGTCTTTTTTCGACCAACGACGACAGTTTTCGATGGGTTGTACCCCATGAGCAGTAGATAAAAAGTGAATAGGTTTATTATCAAACCACTTGACAAGGGATATCACTCCATCATTTCTTACCGTTTGGGTCATAAGAACCTCTCTGTTTTCTGAGCTCTAAATCTTTTTTCAGTCTTACATTTTTAGGAATACGACTAGCCATAATGGTTACGGAGGCTAAAATGCTACGATGTTTCAACAGTGCATCAAACAAAGCTGTTGAGTTGAAATAGCGATACATATAGATATGCGTTTTCTCTGGTAGGGTATCAGCTAAATTCAGCACAACTTTACCGCCAACATCCAGCTTTTCAGGCATAGGGACTTTGTTTGACTTTATCTGTCTACCTTGTCTTTCGTATAGTAAAAAGTCTAAAGGCAAGCCGTTTGTTGACGTCATAACGACATTTTTTATGCCTACAGGATTAGGCTTGCCTTTGACGTATTGTCTCATAGCAACATGTCCTTCAAAGGGAATAATTTGCTCATCGATACTGACACTGGCCGGTCTTTCATACTGCAAACATTTGCTGCGAATTTTATCACAGAGAGGCCTAACTTTCCAGAAACGATCTTTTTCCTTTACCTCTGTTGTAACAGTATTTTCATCTACCATTCGAAGATTGTTCCGAAGATGGTAAAATCTGTCTCTTGCAATGTTATCGGCCACAAGTGGATATCTTGTACGGGACTCCCAAGCCATTCTAAGTCGTGGAAAACCTAACAAGGACAGAATAATACTGGCTCCAAAAAAATTCTTCACTTCTTTGGTAGAAGTCTACAGATCTTTTCCATTGCGGGACATGTAAGTAGTGTTAGAACTCAACGCGAGCTCTTCAAAGAAGGAGTCATCAAAATATTCACTAAAATATTCAAACGGTTTTCGAACAGTGGGTAATACGTCTTCAAGGTCTTCGTGGATTTCTTGAATAAGAGGTGGATCGAAATCATCCTTGTGGCGCCATTTTGGATATCTTTCACGCAATTAGGAGGAGGAGTGGAATGTTACTCCCTTCATCATCATCATCATCAGATGACTGCTCCTCATCTGACAGTTGAGGAGTCCTGGAGGGGCCTGCTATGAGCTCTTCATCGTCGTTGTCGTCTTCGATGTCCAAATCAGAGTTTTCAGAATCAAAATTGACCAAATAGTTCTCAATTTCTCTTTCTGATAACGCTGGAATGCAAAACAAATAAAAGACTAATAAAACATTATTTGTATCAAAACGACGTCGTTGAATCCAAAGGTATCATATTGGATACACAACTAAAATGATCCCACAGACAAGTATTTCTTAGCCACAAACTTATTTCTGACGTCATAATAGGTAGATAGCTTAGTAATTATGTAAATACAATCAAAATACTGCCGATTTCCACTAAAACAAAATAAAACTTACCACCACGATGTCCCGACATTGTAACGGTTCACGACCAATGACTTTAACAAGCTGCTGTCAAAAAAGTTTACGTCTCAGTGTTGCCAATTGATTTTTCTTAGAACTGCTAAATCATATCATATGTGATAGCTTCGGTTGTTACATGATCGCATAATATAGAGCGCAGAAAAAAATTTATAACCGTGGGTATCAAATATGATACCTAGAGACTGAAGAGGATAGGTACGAGCTTATATCTTTGATCTTCCTGATAACAAGTCAATCCTATTAAAAAAACTGCGGCCGCCGTTCCACCTTCTAAGCGTGACAACTATCGTTATTATGAAAAGGGATGTGGGGAGGCTTATATTCGGCAGTGCACTTTTGACAGGCTATAATGAATGAATTTTTCATTAATTATTATCATTATTAAGTATAAATTGAAGTAGAGCTTGAAGAGTAATGATGTAATATAGTAAAACTAGCTGTTCCCCGCGACTTCGCTCGCGTGGAACTTGGATTTCATGGGTTTTAATTTTTTTTGCGCGGAACCATAATTCTTTTATTATACAATTTATTATATAATTTATTTTATTATACATATGTCATGTAGTGGATAAATTATTGGCCTAATCTTGAAATGGCTGTCCAATTCTCACGATCGAACTAAAGAGACTACGAATAATACATTCACGTGAAGGCGCATTGATTGCAACAGCGTTTGTATATGGTACATGCGTAAACTGACCATTTATTTTTTAACTTAAAACGGGACATGGGTTTATTTATACTCTAAAAACTATAACTTTATACAATTAGTGTTCACAGTAATTATATTCAAGTTAATTATAATTATTTTTATTATAACAAATTTTGAAAAATGAAAATCAATCACCATTTAACCAGCTTCATAGAATAAAAGTTCCTCGGACAGTAATTATTAAATGTAACATATTTTTTAATTATTATTTACATTTGTCAGTGTAACAAATTTGATTTAATAAAGTTGGTGATGATTTTAAATATGAATAAAATTCTGGGCATATTTTTTTTTTATATTGACCTTTGTTATCAACATCGCCTTTAGAACTGAAACATGTAAGTGATTTTTTTCAGACGTCCACAATTTATATCTACTCGAGCATTTGTACCAGGTAGACAAAATATATTCGATTAAAATGCAAAAAAATTATGTTGAAAATTGTTGGTGCGAAAGTGTTTGAATACTTCCACCCAACGTGATTCTGCGGAAACTTTTAGATTATCCCATTCGGTTATTTTTAGTCGGTCTCGCTCTCGCACCGTTCGTGTCTGACAAACTTCATAGTTTTAAATTTTTGCGCTTTTTCGGAAAACGAGACTATTTTGCTTCCCGGATCTTTGTTTGGGAACAACGGGAAAGGTGACCGAGAAAAGGGACAGTCCCGTTCAAAAAGGGATGTATGGTCACTTTATACATGCGTAACGACGATATAAGGCATGGTCTTGTCGCACCTGTGCGAGGCAGTTGAGATTCGCAGAAGCGGAGGCTGTCGGTACTTGCAACCTCGCCTCTGTACAACCTATCATTATAACTACGAGACTACGCCGACATACAACGATGTGTTCTTATAATGTTTATTGGACTGAATCCCTTCACTTCTAAGTATATTTATTTGTATATTGAACCAGTGCAGTGCTACAGAAATCTTCCAATAATATATTATACATAACAAGAAGTTAGAAGTTGAATATAAAGAATAATACCATAATATATTCTTGAAACTGTTCAATAAGTAACAGTTCGTTTCGTTTCTTTTCTTAACTTTTCTGTAGTTTATAGTTCTGTCACATCTATTCGTTGTTGATTAATAATAAAATAAATAAATAATAAATTTATTTCAATAGAGCATCAACACTGACCTATTAAAATTTTATAAAAATGTTAATCCATAACGAAAGAAACAACAGCAGCATGCAACAATATTACGGCATTTATTAATAATGATAATAAAAATTAATTACACTGCAATTCGTGGTCGATCGAAGAACAGGCTCCCGAAATCCATCACTCAGCATTTACCTAGATGATGAATATTGTATCAATTTTCTATTTTTTCATAAACAATCACTGAAGAATCGCATATTAAAGAGTATTACGAAGTAATATTTGTCATTCATAGTAAGATAGGCCCTCCCAACCGCTAAAGGATTCCCGTGACCCTGCCTATATGCGGTGAAGATGGCACACCATGGGGTTTTATTCGGTGCGAGTCCGACATAACCCATCCTTGCCCCCGCGAGGCGATTATGCGTAGGCATTTCCCCATGAAAAAAGGACCCTCTAACGGGATAACTCAGGCACGAATTCAAGCGTTAAGCATTTCATAGACAAAAAACATAAACTCCAAATTTGACAGAT